CGCTCAAGCTAAGCGTCGGCGACAAACTGCTGATCCGAGGCGGTACTACTAGCGTCGGCCTCACTGCCGCGTCTCTCGCTGCCGGACACGGGGCCACGGTCATGGCAACGACTCGGAGAACCAGCATAGCCGCTTCTGACCTTCTGAAACAGCACGGAGTCGATCAGGTAGTTGTTGACACTGGGGACATTGCGGACAACGTCCTGGAGATATGGCCTGGGGGGGCTGACAAGGTATTGGAGCTTGTCGGAACCAAGACCCTGGATGACTCGCTGGCCTGCGCGAAGATTGGGGGAACTGTCTGCATGTCTGGAATAGTGGGTAATGAGTGGACATTGAACAATTGGAACCCGATGGAGTCAATCCCACTCGGTGTGTGTCTCACCTCGTACAGTGGAGGACCAACTGAGTTCTTGGAGACGCCGTTGAATGACCTGGCACAGCAGATTCAAGGCGGAAAGCTCAAATTGCCGATCAGCAAGACTTTTGATCTGGACAATATCGGCAAGGCACACAAATTCATGGAGGACAATGAGGCTTTGGGTAAGATTGTAATTTTAGTTTAGACATATATCAAACTTCTTCTTCTATTATTAAGTTATCAGATTAGAAGTCTCATTCATCCTCGAGATTAGGGCGCCGCGTAGGGGCTAGTTATTTATTTTGATATTTTGCCTTTCCTAGCTGCTCCGGCGGTTCTTGGTAGCTTTTACACAGAGGGCTAGGTTGGGGAGGAGGTACCACGGGATCAAAGGTTGACGAGGCCCAACAAATTCAGAATCAACGACGAGAGAACATCATGTTAAGTAATGATCAATGCTGTCTTTGGGCCTGCATCTGTTCTCAGAACGCCGCTCGCCCCTAATGCTTCTTATGTGTATCGTTTCCGGGTCTTCTGGACTTCATTAAGAAAAGGCCGTGAAAGGGTATGATTTGGAGAAAATGAAAGGAAAAATGGCAAAACAAGCACAACGCCCTAGCGACTCTGTTCATTTCCGAGTAAACCGAGAGAAGAAACTCTTCTTCGGCTCCTTATCCTTGTCCTTTTCCTTCTTGAGGCCCCTCGACTTGCTGGCCTCTTCTTGGGTATCGAGCTGCGTGGTATTGTCGTTCATGACCTGTTGAGCATGCGAGACAGTTCCAGGGTGAGGACCCGGCGGCGGGCCCGCAGGCGGACGCGGTGGTGGCGGCGGCGGTGGTGGAGGGCCTGGATGGCCCGGAGGCGGCGGACCCGGGGGCGGCGGTAGCGGAGGCAGTCCGTACTGATACTGCGGCGGATACGGGTTCTGTCCGGGCGGTGGCGGCAACGTATACGACATTGGCGGTCCACCGGGAGGCGGTGACGCAGGTGACGGCGGTAGAGCGTAGCTTTGTGGTGGGGCCTCGAGCATCGGTAGCTGGTTCTGCTGCTCTTGCTTCTGCTCGTCTGAGAAGAGGTCGATGACCTTGCCGGAGCTGAAGAGTCTTTCGTACACGGCGAGCGTGGTGCCAAAGTCCTTGTGGCCGTCGACTTTGACGGCGTCGAGGAGCTCCAGGACGTAGGTTTGGCAGTTGTTGGTGATGAGGTTGTAGGCTGGCTGCCGTGATCTGATGCTCTGGATGACGTATTCGCCTGCGCGACGGATGGCGTCGTCGTTGAAGGTGGTCTCGCCGACGGTGAAGGTGCGCCATTCTTCTCGCTTGTATCGCTCATTGGTGTAGATGACGTGAAAGCTCTCATCCTAGATGAGGTGGGTTAGGTCATGGATGGGGAGCGGTGAGTGAAATGAGATGAGAGGACTCACCATCCACAGCTGGTGGGCGTAGTCGCCGACGAGAACGGCCCAGTGCTGAGTGGGATCGGGATACTTGTTGATCTTTTCTGTGATCATCTTTCCTAGACCTGTTTCTTCGGCGAACCATTTGCCGGCGAGGCCTCCGACGGGGTGCCAGCCGACCTCGACGACACGTGAGGGGCCATTGATGACGGGCTGTGTGACGGGGACGACGTTGGGGGTCTGACCCAAGCCGACGGCATGCTTCAAGGCGAGTTCACCTTTGTTGTAATTCTTCTTACTATCGTTAAGTCAGCGCAATTGCCTCAATCATTGACGGTGAGCATGGCGGTGTAGTCAAAGGATAGTTGAGAGTGAGGGGTTGGAGCCTCATAGGGCTGGGATGGGGGAGGGGTCGCAAGGCGCGTAAAGTGCAAAATTGGGAAAAGATGACGCGCATACAGGAACTCTCCCACTTTGTCCCGCTTTCTCTTCCCTTCCTCGTCGGATCCCGGTTGTGACATTGCGATATCCCAACGGCGCGGCGCGGGTTTAATGGGGTCAAATGTGTGTGTGAAGTCGGGTTGCGGGGGGGGGGGGGAGGAAGGATTAAGTCAGCGCCGATGGGAGGCCAATTGGGGTCGGTCTGCTAGCTCCGGCGCAATAAGGAACGGCGAACAGTGACAGACAGGTAAATTGGTGTTGTTTGTTTGTTGGTTGATTGAATTGGGGCGCCAGATCTTGGAAGGGGAAAAGGGAAATGATTGGGGGGAGAAAGGCTGGGCGTCTTACAAATGAGAGGCATTTGGGGACGGGGGCACGGAATGCACGGCAAGTACGACCAAAGAAGATTAACAGAAAACAAATACCAAGGCAGAATCAACATGATTACCGATTGCGAAACTTGCCATCGCCCACGAACACAATCCACTGCCTCGATCCGATGGGCCTCGATGACCGCGGGTTCGGGCTGACCGACACGTGGAGGCGCATTAACAATTTTTTAATCTAATTTCCAGCTGCACCGCGCCTCAAGTCGACCAATCAGATTCACGATGCGACATCGAGTTGCTCTCTTCGGGGGCCAGAATCCACGCGGCCAAAGCGGCGCAGGCCTTGTTTTTTTTTTTTTTTTTGCAACCACAGCAAGGCACAATTGAGGCTGGAGCACAGCTGAGATGGGATACAAGAAGTATCAGCAGCAAGCCGCGGGTTCCGTCTGTCCAGCACGTATTGATCTCATGCACAGTCAACGGGCCGGTCCGACAATGCTTCTTTCGACCTCTCAAAGCCATTTGATTGTCAATGAAGGACTGTTGAGGGCTGCCTCTGCCGCCTCCCGGTCAAACTTTACTCATCTCTTCGCAGGCACCGGTTTCTCGGTGTGGACCTGAAATACGCGTACTTAGTACGACAAGTCCTGCGCTCATACGAATAAGTTGAAGGAATTTCCTGCCCTCTCACTCACCATTCATCCCATCGCAATGAGCCGAGTAGCCGGAACCCGGATACACGGCAATGCATGATTGACCATCATGAGATGGATCGAAAGCATCACATCTGCGCAAGCTCGGGCTCATCGTTCACAAGTCAAATTGTCATACTTTCCATGAGACTCGACTACGGTAGCGCTAATAATCTCATCACTCGAGTCTCCCGCGCGTGAAGGTACGAGGCATTTATTAAGACGTATATCACAAGAGACTCAAAACCGCTTAGTATGCTTGTCGTTCATAAGATGTCTGCTTCCTGACGTTCAGCCATCTGATCACTGAGCTCATGCCTGTCCTCTCACTCTCATATATTCAGCGATAAATTTCGTGAAATACACTTTGTCACAATCTCATCATAACTTCGTCGTTATTGACACTGAGCATGCCGTAGTTCTTTCCGATTCACGGAGATGTCCTTTATAATGCGTCAGGATGAGCAAGACTGGAACAGAGTTTCAATGACTAGACTCGTAGTTCATGACCGCTCAGAAGCATCTCTTTCATCTCACTGATGGTCGCAAGCGATTTATCAAACACCAAGCTGTACCAATATAGTGAATGCGTAACATCATGACCGCCATCAGTAACGGATCTATAGCAGTGTGAAATGTGGCCCTGAATCTCATCTGCTAACAAACCATCTCAAAGACACCGACATATCTCTCACATCTAACTAATCCAAGCCTCAACCACTTTCTCAGCCCTCGCCGCATCTTCCAAAAGCGCTCTCCGCCTTTCCTCTCCCCTAGGCACAAACTCAACCTCGAACCTCTCAGGCCCCATGACAAGATCAGAATGGAACCCAGTCTCGATACTCGTATCCAACCACTTCCCCTGCGTAGGAACGACATCGAACTCCCAAGCAAGCTTCGCAATCGTCACCGAGATCTGGTTCTCGGCATAGTCCAGCCCAGGACACATCCGCCGCCCCGCCCCGAAATTATACGTTGGGTGTCTCTTCTCCCGCTCCGCCGCCGCCGCCAGCTCCGGACGCACGCCCCACGGGTTGTCCATGTACCGCTCAGGCAGGAACTCGTCCGGCCGGTCGTACCACGCTTCGTCCTTGTGGATCCCGTACGTGTTGGTCAGAAACCTCGTGCCCTTGGGGAACGTGTAGCCCTGATAGGTGTCGTCTCTCGCGAGGACGCGTGGGACACCTGAGGGCGCGGCGGTGCGCCACCTCATGGCCTGAGTGATCAGTTCTCGTTAGCCCTCAAGTTCAAAGCAAGATCTAGCCAGAAGAGGAGAGGATACTTACCTCGTTGAAACAAGCCCTCAAATACTTTGCCCTCCCAAGATCCTCAAACCCAGGCGCCTCCCCCGGCCAAATAGCATCAACCTCCTCCTGAAGCCGCCTCTGCATCTCCGGATACGCAGCCATAACAAGCACAACAGTACTCGTAGTAGCAATAACAGTATCAACAGCAGCATCCAACGTCCCCGCCCCCAAAACAGCAAGCTCATGATCACCATACGTCGGCCCCTTCCCCGCGACCTTACTCGCCTCTCCCTCCCGAAGCATCCTCGCCATAACAGACTCTGTCTCCCTCCCCCTTCTGCCTCCTTTAATCTCCGCCGCCTGTGCTTTAGCCCCGTCGAGCAAGTAGTACATCGTCCCAAGCATCCCCTTCTTCAACGTCGCGGCCTCCCGCTTCCAGCTAGCGAGGAACGCGGGAAGATACTTCATCACGGGGAACAGATCCACCGGCGGCGCCTGCGCGGGCGTGAGGAAACGTAACCACATATCCTGCGTGGCGAAATACGTCTTCGTCGAAGCGACATCATCTCCCTCCGCGACGCGCTGCCCACTCAGCACAGAAAGCGGCGTAGCGAGAGCCCAGTGTCTCAAGTGCCTGTGAAACCGCCCCGGATCCTCAAGAATCATCTTCATCAGCAAAGCAGCATGCGCTTCCTGCGCCGTGACAACACGCTTCAGCTCACTGGGACCGAATAAATGATTCCGCAGCGCCGTTCGCAACTTCTTGATGTGATGATCATTATCCATAAACAAGATCGTGCCGGGGTTAATGAGCGTGCTCGTGATGTACGGCTGCGGCCTGTCCGAGTATATCGCGCCTCGCTTCTCGTACAGCTCTCTGATGTGTTCTGCGCTGGAGAGGATGACGTAGTTTTCGGTGCCGATTTTGATGCCGAAGATGTCGCCGTAGGTCTGGCTCCATTCTTGGAATTTGAAAAAGGCCTTTTTAGGCGGGATTTCGAGGACGTTGCCGAGGATTGGGATAGGGGGTGGGCCTGGGGGGAAGTTGGGTGGTCTTCGGGTTAAGAGGACCCATTGGGTGAGGAAGTAGAGGAGGACTGCGGCGGGGAGGATCAAGATGGCTGGGGAGCCGAAGAAGGACATGACGCTCATGGTGATGGTGGTGATGATGTCTCTTGTTGGAAGGGCGAGTCGTCAAGCAGTGATGGGTGCGATGATACGAAGTGGTTGAGAGCAGAGGGTCGAAGATTTCCCATGCAGCGTTCTTTGGGAAAGTCCGTAAAACCTCGTCAAACCTCTCTTTTATGCTTATCCATCCTTCTCGGCAACCTAATCGACATCTTCGCCATCGAAGCTCGTGTAACCTCCGCCAAGCACCTACTCGCGCGGCTCACGACATCTCACTCACATCATATCGTGACATCGGCACTCCTCCCCATATCCGACTGGACAAAACCGACATTCCCCATACGAGATGATTGTTACGATGACCGCCCGACGTTACAGCAAGAAGCAGGCTCGTTGACTATTGAGCGTACATGGTGTTTCGATGGCTGATCTTTCGTTGGGCATAGCTGGTCTAACATGCCGTAGCAATAAAACCGTTGGCTACGTGTAACCACCCACCAACCCCTCTCCACGCCGAGTCGGCTGCAATAATCAGATCAAACACCTGCAAGTGATTGCGGGCCGAGAACATTTCGGCTTGAGTAACATGCAGTCAGCGACGCGATATACGACGCTGGCATGCGAGGACAGGCAATCGCGGCGTAAGCAAAACTGGAGTAACACGAGAAACGCTCTCCCAACGACGCTCTCGTACATGGGTGTCAACCAATCACTCTACAGGTTTTCGTAACCTCGTCCGTTCAAGAGATCTTTGCCTAATTCGACACGCAAATGGACGGATTGGCAGCGGAACATTGTTGCCCAGACATACCAACAGCGCTTACTGAACAGGAAAGCTGTACACAGCTACCGTTCGCCACGTTACATGCTGTCAGATTTTGGCGCTCTACCTCAGCGAGATATCGAATGGGGAGAACAGCGAACAAGTCAACGATAACCCCGCCAGATGAATCAAGCAAAACCAAAAAGGAGCAGCGGAGCGTTGATCTTAGTGATTTCCGAAACCGAGAATCGAACTCGGGGCTATGCCTAACCTTTCACTGGAGATGAGAGGGCATCATGTTGGCCACTACACCATATCGGATGGGTTGATGAAGATTTAGCATTGGTGGAGGGCTAGATTTGGTGGGCATGCGGTGGAGCGGACCCCCTGCTCACGCTGGCGGTCTTCACGATGTGGGGTTGGAGGCTTTAAGAGAGCCCACTTGGGAATTGCCTGATGCAGTTGGACAGGAAATATCACAGAACCTATCAGATGATGGAATTTACAATGCTTCAAGCACGGTGTTTGTTCTGAACTTTATTCGTCATCAGGATGCGTATCCTATTCATGATATCTGTCCGTCCCTGCTCCATCCTCAGAGGCAGCGTGCAGATTAGCCTACATATACAGTGTACACTTTTTGGTCTTTTTGACGCCGAGGAAAAGCCTGCCACATCATGCGCAGCGACGGCGGTGTCCAACAAAGGCACGAAGGCCTGGCCTGGTATACCATCAACTCCGGTCCGTCCGTCCATCTAGAGACCAGCCACCATCCAAAACCGCCAAAGATAGGATACACGATGGAACAAGACATCCTTCCTCCACCCAACTCTTAAGCGAGTGAAGGTCGAATCCAACTAGGAGTGTAAATGACTCCGATATCTACAAACAACCCACTTCTGGTCGCTGCCGAACAAGGGAGAATGAGATATTTCCCAGCATGCAGAAAAAATGTGCTAAGTCGATTCCAGCGCCGTGCGTTTTCGGGTCCGGCGGATGAGGCTTCAAGCCCAGACAAGAAGTGCAGGGCAAGAAAGCAGATTAACGCCGTGTGTAGTGCCATCCTCAAGGATGAAACTCTTCATGACATAATACCTCGACAAGAGGTTAGAAAAATTGGGTATCAAAAGTGAAGCAGAGTAAGGGGTAAAGTATGTCGCCGGAAATATGGAAATGATGTTATCCGTTCGATCAAATGTTGTCGCGATGCAGGACCCTTCATTCGTGGCCTTACATCGGTGTGGGCGTCGGGGCGCCTCGATCTCGGCTCATCCAGCCAAATAGGTCGCCACGGCCCTGGGTGCTAGTGTTGCTTGTCTGGGGCTCGATGGGGGTTCGCACAGCCATCTCCCGTGGCTCCAGGAGTAGACTCTTTCGGTAGTAGCTGACTTGGACATTGCCTTGGTCGCTCTCACGAACACGCACAATCTGCGCCGCCATCCAATCCTGCATCTCAGGGATCTCGGTCAACCGGTACGGGATCTGGAATCGCTGAAGCTCGCCGATGATCTTGGCAGTGCGAGTGTGCTTGTCGAAGTTGACGACGGTTAGACCACCGCCATTCTCCTCACAGCCATCACCACCGAGAGTAGGGATTTGCTTGGTCGCAGGGTTACCGATGTCAACAAACGTCAGGTCCGTCAAGAACATGCCGAGAAATGGCAAGCATGGAGGGACGTGGTCGTGGAGGCGAGTTCGGAGCACTTTATTGTTCTGTGAGGGCTCAACAATGGCCTGCAACGTGCGGAGCATCTCGCGGCGCTTGACAGAAACAATATCCCAGGTCTTGCGCAGACGGCTGATTGTACTGCTGTTCAGACTGCAGATGATAGCCATCAAACCATCGTAGTTGTGGAGTTCCAGGCATTGATGAGCAACCTTGATCCACTGTTTGATGACGGCTGCACGCTTCTTGACCTCCGAGTGCTGCAAGATTGTCTCCGCGACAAGATTAGACAGGTCAGTAGACAGGGCTGACATGGCCTTGACGTTGGGTGCATCGACGCCACCCTTCTTCATCCATTGAGAAGCAAGAAGTTCCTCGGGCATGATGGAGCAGAAGATGTTCATCTGTCTAATAGTGAGCTGGCGGGCGATCTCGAGAGGCTCAAAGTCCAAGACAGTGGGGTTGCTGCCGCCGTTCTTCCAAGCAAACAGCTGGTGAATCTGGCTTTTGGTCAGAGCCAAGGGTGGATGCGGTGTGTCGGCCGGGATGTACTGCGCAATCGAGGTGTTTGTCTTGCCCATGGAAGACACCAGCCGCGGGACGAGGGCGATGTCCTTGGCAACGCGCTGAGCAAGTTCCAGAAGTCGCCGACCAGCGGAGGGCAACACTGCTCCAAGTTCGTACTCCGCAAAGGGCTCAATGAGACTAAGGGCTTCGCGGTCAGTCTCGTCGCGCCAGTGCGATTCGAGCCAACCCTTGAAGGCGTTGTAAACACGGAGCCTGACTGGGCCGGCCATGTGGGGTGCCTCAGCGACGTAGTGGAATCGATCGATGAGAGTCTCGGCCAGCTTGAGCGGGCTACTGAACAATCGGAATGTGAGATAGAAAGTTGACACAAAAGTCGCGTCGGGGGTAGATTCGTGTGTTGTGAGACGCTCGACGAGGGCTGGGAGGGAACCGCCAGTGACTTGGCCCTCCTTGTTGAAGATCAGCTCGTGAGCGTAAGTCTTCTCAAGCATCTTAGACTCGACATCGTCAACTTCTTCGTTGATGGCGTTTGCACTGCCAGAGTTGCTGAGCTCTGACATGGAAGGCTTCAGTTTGGGTGCCAGAGAATGATCCGGTGTGGTCGCGCGTGTAGATGTTTGAGAAACCAAGCTGGCCTCAGAGTCACGGCTGAGATAAGTGCTGCTACTGCCCGCGCTCGAGGCAGCCATACTGTCAATACGGGAGGAACTGTTGTAGTCGCCATCCTGGTTTTCGATGGGGCTGTATTCATCTCCCGGGAGCAGGGATGTAGACAGTTTGGGGAGAGGCGGAAGAGTCGGCCGCATCGACGATACGGAAGACACCATGTTCGCAATATGTTCATTGTTGAGCGAAGACGGTCGGGAATTAGGTGCAGAAGAGTTCTGAGAGGAAGGTCGACGTCTGTGACCGAGAGGTTCAGTGCCATCGACAGGTGGCAGTTGAGGCAGTGGCTTGTCGTTGGCGACGAGGCTCGGTCGTTGCTGGTGGTGGGGCGTTGGCGGCAGAACGGAGTGCATAGAGTCAGAACTTCTAGTCGAGCCCGCGACACTGGTCGCCTCCGTCGTTGTTGTTTCTGCGACAGATGGTGCGATTGATGGCCTACGATATTGCGGCTCAAGGGCAACATCGAGAACGCTAAGATCGATGCCCAGCTCGCCGGCCTCAAATTCGCATTCGAAGTCGCCAACACGCTCGATTGCCCACTTGGTCTTGGCTACACACTCACCGGCAGCCTTCACGCAACCAGTTGCTGCCATCAACAACAAGCTGTTGTCCTGTGGCATGATAACATCGGCATCCTGGAACACTGCGTGGCGGATGATCTGACCTGCCGCTGTGACCAACTCCCGGATGCGTTCAAACATCATATCCCTCGCTCTAACCAGCATATCAGAGCTGGTGCTCTGACCACATACGATGTCAACGACAGCCAGCAACTCTCCACCAGACGTCGCCGATAATTTAATGGCGAACGCCAACTCCGGCCGGGACTGGGACTGCAAGTGCAGTCGGCCAATGAAGGAGCCTAGGTGGGACAAGAAGGTATCGTGGCTCTTGTTGAGGCGTTCCGAGACAAGGTGATGCGGTCTTGACAGGGGAGAAGGGCCAGCCAATGAGACACGATGTGAGATGCTGGATGACAGCCGTTTGACATTTTGAGACATGCGGTGCGAGTTGGGACTGGCGGGGGACTGAAGGGTCGAAAGCCGCCTGCTATTCGGTGCGTTCGACGTTTGTGCCGCATCGCCTGTTTGCGAGGGCGTACCCCTGGTGGGTGTTCCGTTCGTCGGTCCTCGGGAAGCTGCGTTATGAGTTGCATCGAACTTGATCTGATCTGCAGGTGGCGTCGGGGGGATGTAAGATTCCTCAATGACAGTAGCCATGACAGTCACTGCGGGGGCGCGTTGCCTACGATCATCCTCGAGGATGTCGAAAAACCTTACGCCCTTGGTCACGATCTTGAAAGCCTTCAAGATCATTTCGTCAATGATATCGTTGACATCTTCTGTCGGTTGGGCGATGCCCTTTTGGGCTTCTTGTAAACGCTTTGCTGTCTTCACCAAGGCTGACAACTCTGAGAGTAACGTCTTGCGTGCGCGCCGTAGGCTTTCGTTGCGGGTTATGATAGCCGATTCCCTA